TTTTTCACATTTAACTCATAGTAAGAAAGCGATCAAGCATATTTCCCCATTGTCCAACACTATCAAGTTGAAGAAATATTGTGAGCCAGGTTCAAGTGTGAATAAGAAATTTTGGAGACCGATGAAGACTTACATAGTATGGTTAATTGAACCCTTGCCGAGGAGATACAGTGCCAGCATCCAACATGTGAACACATCAAATGCCAACACCAAATCCGAACGATACTTCATTCCTGGGTATATTTACCTTCCTAGATCTACAGAGATTCACTGTCCAAATAAGGTTATTTGTCACCCCTCCATCAATGTGTGAACAGTTTCATGGTCATTGACTCAAATCAAGACATGTTGTGTGTCCTTCAAGCCACATGCAACACTTTCTAGATAGTGCCAGTCAGTCCTAACAAATGTATCATTATCAACTCAGCTGCATCAGTCAGTCGACAAGCAGGCAGAGAGGACAGGCAGCGTCTGACCTAGCTATTTGGAGAGTCTTTGGCTGTCACCTTTGGCTTGCTTTAGTTAAGCAATTGACCCTATCATGACCTGGTGAAACCTGTGTCATAGTACCCTTAAATTATTCCTTCACAATTTCTGTATTCTGTATATGCTTGTGCCATTGGTCCATTTAAGTCATATGATATGACACTGAGAAATATTTTAATCGAAATGCCTTCAAGCTGTTTTTGTACTTATATGGCACACAGTGTCTTTGAAAACCTTTGGATCTCACTAGAATTCTAACTGAAGTCTTGTGGGATTGAGCAATGTTTTTTCCCAACAACAGGGATTTGTAATGATGGACATGCCAAAGAAGAGCTTAAGTAGTAGATTGTAGAACTGTTTACACTGTGCTGGAGGAGCCAATAGAGATGAAAGTCACACCTCTAGTTGTAATAGTCTATTTTAAACATATACAATAACGGACTGTCACAGATATTGATAATATTGTAACACAGTTGTGAAGTTAGTATGTCCTTGTCTCTCTGCCTCTGTGCTTACACATAACAAATCTAATAAGACTGGGACAAGTAGAGAAGAAGCCCAGACTCTGGTTTGCTTCACTGGACCTGAACACAAGCATTTCATCTGTTGAGCCAGCAGGCCAAATCAAGTGGTCTTTATTAAAGCCGCTTTGATGGATTCACCCGTGGCCTCCCCCACTGTGATCTATCGCCTGTCCAGCCCTTGGAGGTCGTAATAAACTTGTTTAGCAATGGGGTCACTGCATGCAAGCAGAGCATGTGTATGCGAGTGTGTGTATGTGTGTGGGCGCTTTTCTGCTTGAAAACGTGGCTCAGGTGTATGACAGTATGTCACAAGCGCGCTGCATAATCCATAGCCTCCTGGCACTGAATCCCACTTGTGATGATATTTGTAGTCTCCTCACAAATTCTAGCATGATTGCATCATATATTTATATACACACATATAGGGATCGGTCAAGCCCAGTTGCAGCGTTGTTACCCCTTTGAGTAGTTTTACTGTCTTGAGCAGCTCCTGCATATTTCCAAATAGAGTAGTAAATCCAAGGAAGTTGAGCCTGGGTAAGCCTTGAACAAAAAGCTATTTATTTGGTTGCTGTTTTTGTTTAGTATATCATGTTCTATCTTGTAAGTATCTTTGAGACTGACTTGAATAAGCAGGACATGTCAAAAGCAGTTCATTATGCTCAATGTCTCATTTCTGCAGTTTTAAATTTGGAGCAGTCTGTATCACACTTGGGAGTTGCATTCAGCAAAAGAAGATGGGATCTTTGAGCATTCTGTCTGGCCTGCAGTGAATGAAGCACGACAATTAGCAGACATTGTAGACACGGCCAGCCCATGTCCGTGTCTGCTGTCTTCAAGTTAGCAACGGCTGCTGTCCCCAGCGGACACTGGGAACATCCAGGTCATTGTTAGTCAAGGTGAAACCCATTCGCTTTCTAATGGGTACAGCAGGCACCAGTGTTATTGGATGATTCATCAGATCGATGGCAGAGTGTTCTCATCTGACTTCCTGAGTCCAGCATTTGTAGCTTGTTGGAGTTAATGTAGCTTACATGGCAACAAGCGCCAGGCACTGTGAGTTATAGGCAACAAAGACTATATATGATTTTATTGTTTTAGTGAAAAGTAAAAAGTAAAAATTTAATTTACAGCTTTGTTCCCAGATGTTATTACAAATGCTTTATTTTTTAAAGTAAATCACACCAGTGAAAGTCTATGATGTATTTTTATGAGTGAAATCTCTCACAAATAAAGTTTTATGAGAGGTGTGCCTGGAAAGAATTGCGGATATTTCATTCTTAAAAGCCCTTTGGAAGATACAGCAAAGGGCAAAGCCTGTTATTGTTGCTGTTCTTTATGGTGCTATTTTACTAACAGTGGTAAACCATTGAAGTCACTGTAGGTAATCTTAAAGGTGCCGTAGAATGCTCATTTTCAGGTTCTTAATACTTTTATTTAGGATTTCTACCTGAAAATGTTCAAAAAACACATTATGTTTCTCATACTGTTCACTGCTTCAGCAACTCTTTCTGAACACTCCTCCTGAAAGCCCACTTGCTTGAGGGGTGGGGTTTAGCAGCATCACACTTTATCAAGGCCTGCTATGTCAGACTAGCCCTCACTGAATACTGCACAAAAATACATCTTAATTTTTTTTTTAATTTTCCCTCTGATGTCCTCCGGCTGCTTTGCCTCCACTTTGCCAATTTACAAAGTTTATATGTTGCTGGTAACTTTAGCAGCTAACTACTGCTAACAGCAGTTGAGTTAGCTGTGCAGCTAGGCGTCCTATTGCTGATTCTGGCTAGACTGGAAGCTTGGTGCTCTGGGGGTGTGTCTAACATTAATACAGAAGCTTTGGACCGCTGGTTCAGAGCCAGCTGATAACAGGAGCTACTGTAAGCAACAGCTAGCAGTTAGCAGTCCGTAGCGTTAGCAACAAGTAAAGCTATCTGTCCATCAGGAAACTTCTTAAATCACAGTTGAGGCAGAGCAGATAGAGGACATCAGAGGGAAAAACAGAAAACATTTACCTTTCCTTCATAACCGAAAAGCACTTTCTGTGAGACACACTGCACTGCACAACCCCTAGCTGTGGCTTTATGAGCTGGTATGACCGCTTCTCTGGAACTTGGGCTAATTTATGTGACTTTGGGGGCGTAAACATCCCAACACCTAGTGCTCGTTTTTCAGGGGGTATTTTTGGGTGTGCAAGATTTACATATGAAGGAGAAAATAATGGAGATTGAGGCTTTTTATATTCAACTATGCCAAGGAAAATACAGTTTTCCATTCTACGGCACCTTGTTTTAATGTGAAGTGAAGCTACTGAAATAAAGTTATAATGAGGGAATTGCAAAGGAGAATAATAACTTAATATCAGACCTTACATATATCACAAATACATCCAAGTTCATAAAGCATTTAGTGAGAAATTAGGACTTTATGATAAAGTTTTTTTTAGTAGTTTTATTACTTGACTACTATACAAAAAGGCTGTATCTGTTAATCAATGCAGTTCGGTCACATTGCTTGGACGATGTATTTACAGGAAGCAGACAAACACACAACAGTGTTTTCATACTTTAATGTAAAAATAAGCATTGTGATGAAGTGTCTCTAAAGGTTTATCCATTTATTAGTGGAATTTAATTTGGTTGAGTAACTAGTTGTATGTAACTGCATAATTTGATGTGATCAGTGTTGTTTTGTCATCTGTATTAAAGCTCATTCCCTCTATCTCCTTCCTCTCTCAGATGAACAACCTGGACACCTTTGGGAATAGATAGCGTTAGTGAAATTTCTCACTCAGGATTTCACTAAAACAACATTTGCTGAGAGTTTGCACATGTCCCCAGGCACTTGCTTAAGCACCCTTTTAAGATGCCCAGAAGCTGAAAACTGTCTGATACGCATTTCCTCCAAAAATATACCTTTTCCTTGAGATGGTTCATTATATTAATCAGGGGTGACATTAACTTCGGATAAATTCCCAGCCATGCCATCAGAAATTTGCTGGGCGCACCATCATGGTTGTCATAGTAGCCATCAGATTTGGACCCTTCCAGTAGTACCACTTGATGCCGTTGTAGCGAACCACGCTGGATGAGCCGGGATAATATATGCCATTCAGGTTGGATGGACCGCAGGCCTCAAACCACCAACCTGGAGAGGAAATGCACCGGAGAGTTCAAGGAAAAAGTCAGAACTAATTGAATTCAAGCTCATGAAATGTAACACCCAAATGTGCAGCTGTAAGTCAGCAGTAACTTTATATGAGCGCAGAGGGAAAATTAAATGCACTTCGGGACATTTACAAGGGGGCGGATAGAAATGTTTAACAAGATGGGTTACAAGGAGAGACAGATTGAGATAGGGGTAGATGAGTAGCAGAAGTTAGGGGAAGCTGCGCACCTCCAGATGCAAGCTGGGCGCACTTGCAGGTGCAGCGGTCGTTATCTCTGTCCTTGGTGCTGAACTGGGTGCCGGTGTGGGTGAGGCTGCTGGTCCGTCCAGCTGTGCCACTGAAGCCCTCGGTGTGGAGGCTGGGTTTGGGAGAGTTGGAAAAAGAAATTCACCAAAAAGCTTAGCCGCGGGCACTTCTGTTTATTATTTAAAGCTGTGTTGGGCAAGTTTGCTTGTTGGCTGTTCCAAATGGCAGCGAGTGGTTACTGCTCGAAAACAGTTTGAGCTTCAGTTTCCCTGAAATCATCTCCCATCTGTAAACTGAACACCAAAGGGATGAGAAAGGCAACACATGTAACTTGGTGAATCCAAATCCTGCTGTTTGTAGTTCACTTTTAGTGTTTCACACTTTGTCTGACCTGGCATCAGAATTTAAGAGCGAATAGACAACATCTTAAATGGGGCAAGAGCCAATGCTTTTTCTCTATTGTAGCTCCACCTTGTAATTTAGAGTCTGTGTAGAGTGATGTACTTAACGCTCTTGCCTAGTACAGTATTAATTAAAAAATATATATATATTTAAGATAATAAAGACTCAAAGAATAGAATAGAATAAATCAAAATAATCAAATAACATACAATATAAACATATGTGAACCACTGGAGGAGATCATAGCCTTTTTAGTACATGTATAATACTTTTTAATACAAGCTTCCCATAGTTGCCAAACATCAATACAAAAACTAACTTCTCATTATTTTCCTGCATGCTGTGCTTTGTAAAACAACCCAAACAGTCTGAAAGAAATATCTGCCAGAGTAAAATTGATTCGCTCAATTATTTTCATACTGTGGCCGAGCAATGGAGTTTGTGTGCATGTGTGTCTGTTTCTGTGTTCGTTTGTCCGTCTGTGTGTGCACGTCAGTTTGAGTTTGAAGCGAGTGGACGAGGAGGTCAGCCCTGCTGTCTGGCCTCTCTGTCATTCTGTCTAGTTATTACCGGACTCTCCCCTGAGTTATGTGACCCCACCCCCCTCCCTTCTGCAGCCAGGGGCATGCTGTCTGTGATGACTAAATGAAGAATCCTCCTCTTAAATTTGTAAAGTTCACAGGGCAGGGCAACACATCATGCGGGGCAGGAAGAGGGGAGTCTGAAATGACAGGGGATGGGAATTGTGATTGAACAGCAGAGAGACTGGAATACTACATTAGGGGAGATTTTGTTAGACGACTTAACTTTTCTCTGCATGATGGATCAGTGATGTGGAGAAAATTAAAAACTATCAAATTAGACAGGCAACCACAGGCTACAGGATATCCTATTGGAAAGAGGGGCCTGTGGACTGTGCCAGTTCCTCCTACTCTCCAAAGCATTTGCATTAGCCATGACTTCCAGATGTATTAGTTCAGCAACTCCACCAATACCGCAGACCACAGGCTAATCCTTTTCAAGGTGACTGTCTTTTTATATTGTTATTGTATCCTTCAATGACAAATATACTGTTACATTAAAAGGAATACCTACCATTGATTTTTCTATAAGAATGGCTATTCTTGGCTACCTCTAAGGGGAAAGTGGTCTGTCATACTGATGATTAATGTATGAATAATGAGTTTTAGGTGAAGACCTCCATGTTGATCTGGGGAGCGCACTGGATGCAGCTGAGGAGGAGAATTGCTTTGGCTGAGTGGCCGCATAGCACCATAGCTCCAGCTTTGGAGTTATACTATAAACCCGCAGACGAAGCCAGTGTCTTCAGCATGCTAGTAGAGCTGGTACATGTTGAACTACTTACACAGAACATGATCTCAGAGGTAGCAAACTACAGAGGTGATTACATTCACTCAGGTGCTTCACCTCACACAGTGTAGCCTACAGCAAAATTGTAAAACATTCAGTTTCATCGTGCTAATTATGTGGAACAAACTCAGGCAAATGCAATTTGCTGCACTATTAGGGATCTTGGAAAGCACATACCCACATATGATTATGATTTGTCATCTCTCAGAGCATCAATCTCCATAAACTTCCACCAAACAAGAGCAAATTCCTGTAGATTTATATGAAATCTAAACTGAACTATTTTGGTTTCTATTTTATTTCTGTCTGTTTAGGAGGGAGCATGGCTTCAGCACACCCACAGATAATCTTGTTAGTGATTGCAGGGTTACCGAGGAGCATGGTTTGAGTTGTCAGTTCCTGGCAGGGGCAGGTATTGCCGAGCATTCCTGTAATACTCCAGTGGATGTGGCTCCCCTTTGGGGATTTTCAGGCGCAGCGGTAGCCACTTTGATGGGAAAAGAAAAATGGAGGCAGACGAAAGTGGCAGCGTGCCCTCCACTGAGCTCATCATTTTGAATGACATTCTTAAAAATGGTCCAAGTGGTTCCTTAACTTCAGTGGTTGGGGATAAAAAAGCTTAGAGAACGAGAAAATAGGAAGGAATTTAAACTGTTGATAACAGTTTCTAATCTGTCGCGATATTAAGAGTCTTGCACCCAGAGGGAAGGCAATGATTGAAAGGGTGTTACTGCATTGCAATTATGCCTTTCACAGTAGAAAGCTCTTAATAAAACACTTTACTGAAATAAAGTACCTCCTTTATAATCCGATTCATGTCTGATTTCTGAAAGAAAGTGAAAGAAAAAATTTTAGACTTGAGACCTGAGCGTATAAGAAGTGTTTTAGTTTAGCATTTTGTCATATCATGTGCTATCATGTACTAATTAAATGTGGTAATTGGATGATTTAATAATTCAGATAGTTATTTTTTATCTAAGCACTACACTAGTACAAGCCAGAACAAAACATTCATTGTTTAACTGTAAATTAGAATTACATTTGATGCTGTTAGGTTACCTGTAGTTGTTGTCATCTCCATCTATGTAGAAGCGATCGTAATGTGAGAAGGCTTCGTTTCCCTCTCTGTCTTTCAGCTGGACATGCAGACTGTATTCCTGGGAGCTGGTCAGCTTGTGGATGATATCATTCCCCAGCCAGTGTTCCCCAGACGGCTCTCCAAAGCCCTGGAAGAGACACAAAGACTGAGAAACAATAGAACAAGAGTATATTTTAACAGAGGGAGGGGGGTGATTTTACCAGTGGCCTGCCAAGTCTTTTTGGAGGTAATATGAAAATGTACCTCAATTTAAGAAATCACATTTATCATTCTGATGGCCTAAGACAGTCTACTGAGTTTATTAAGTGAAATACTCCACTCCCAAAGCTAGGGGCCAGTCAATTGAGACTTAATTTGCCCTCATATCCCACCAATGATCCATCTGTGGCTGTGGCCCTTTAAATCTGATCCACTGTTTATTTAAAACTAAGAGCTGGACATGAACATAAGCCTTCTGTCAACCTTTTGGCAATGGTAAACAACATGGAATGATCACTAATGCAGAATAAAAGGTGCAAGAATAAAGGAAATATGAACAATTGCAAATGCTTCCATACAGGCCAATAATCTTGGGGTCACTGAAGGATGTGATGACCATGAGGATAATGGAATGACATGATATTACCAGATCTCAACCAAAATGAACACCTATAGACAGGGTTTGAGCCAGTTGAACCCGTGCAACAATGACCCCTTTAAAACATAAAATGCCCAATCACTACAAACCTCTGTGCTCCCGATTGTCCCCCCAAAAATCAAGAGCCTGCTGTTAGCAGGCTTCTCAGTTTTAGATTTTTATAAACTAAATCAACATTTTTTTTAACTATGAAATGACTCGGTGGTTATCTTGTAGGGAATGCCCTTCTGTATTATTTTGATATTTTAAAATAATTAGCAAAGGGATTGGTGCTTTAGCTGCTCACAGAGACCAACAGAGTGATGAGTCGCCCAGTCAAGAAATGATCACATGCTGACTGCATTTTTTTACAGCCCTCTGTATTGTAGCCAAATAGAAGTCAAGCAGCAGCTAATGGTACAAGATAATAAACAATAGTCATAATCGCTCAGTTATACTTACATCATATTAATATTTGAATCACCTCAATCTGTAGACATTCAGAGCTGAGCATGTTCTTTCAGAATGTGAAAGTACAACATTAGCAAATAATGTTAGCTCAACATCCAAAAGGGAGACTGAGAGCTGTCAAAATGATTGAATTTAGATGATATTTGATATCTTTAGCTTTAATTGTCAAACGTGACTTAATGACAGTTTGTCATTATAACAACAAGTTGAAAACTACACAGCAAACATCACTAAATATGCAACTCGTGGATGCAATAATTAAAATAAAGAAAAAGTTTTATGGCTAATATAATAGTTCTAATATAATACAGTTTTCACTGCATGGGAGATCTTGGTCTGACATATTAAACAGCAGTCTCCACCGCCATCAGCAAAACATCAATGGGAATATATTTTGTAAGAATGGTATTCATCCCTCCTGTACAGTTTGGAGACTTTTAGAATATATTATGCCAACAAGCATCGAAGCTGTTCTGGTGGCTTGTGGTGTCCACACATCTTACAAAGACACTCTGTGTTGGTTTTTCCTTTAATATATCAACCATTTGTATATTTGTATAAGGGGGAGGAATATAGAAACGGGTCTATAAAAGAGAATGTCAAGGGCATAAATGTGCAGCAGGAGTAAATGTTGAATAATGTTAACAGGTGGACTGCACAGTAATCTGAACATGATTTAAAACATTTGAAACAGATAGGGTGTGCCATGCGGGCATAATGGCTTTGACAGAAATGCTTCACTCCAGGAAAATGACAATAACATGCAACATTCTATTCAATTATGATGCCTCAACAGGAGGGACAAAAATGGCTTTGGTTAATGAATGTACAAGATGGCACTTACTTGACAGACACCAATTTGAGAATGCACATAATAACTGACAGCCACTAAGAATATAACCATTAAAGGATAATTTTGGTGGGCCCTATTTTCACATATTTAGTGGTCGAAACAACTAGTAGGTACAAAAATGTTTTGGAATCTATGCAGTAGATGGCTTCAGCTGGCTGCGTTTCTGTCAATTATTTTACTTTTTTTTTTCACCTTTTTATCTTTATTTGATTGCACATTGAGGGGAGTTGCACTTTGATCTTGTTGAACTAACTACCGAAATTACCCTTTAAGACAGACTACTTATATCATCACATTTTCATGGCAGAAGTGTGAATCATCAGACTACACCTGCAGATGTTAAGCAGTATTTGTTCAGTCCAACAGAAGGCCATTTTCTCCTTGTTTACCACTGAATTCTAAGTCACTTTGTCTAGCTGTCAGACTCTTTGTTTGTTATTGGTCTTAAGTGAGAGCAAATATATGGTGAGAGCCTTGGAGCATTTATCATTTGACCAGCAGGCCACGAGTGCAACATTTGATCAACACTGACCACAGTTTTTGAGAATATAGAGTGTGAACCGGGGCAGAGAAGAATTTTAGTACATACGTTATCTGCCATGTACAGGGTCCCTTTGCTCCCACGCCCAAGTTGGAACCAAATATTTATCATCCACTTCTAAAAATATTGTTCTGGAAAGAGATTTTTAAGCTTTGTTATTATTTTTTTTGTCTCTCTCTTTCTCTCTCTTTCTGTTTGCAGTCACAGTCCTCTCTGCATTTTATTTCCAATCCACGCTATGGCAATTGATTTGTTGGCGTGGGTGAGAGACAAATTGCTGCTCCGCTCAATCCCAAAACTAGCCTCACTCATTTGTTCTGTGTGTAATTTAACACAGCGACAAGGCTTTCAAGTATATGTTTTTATCTGTTTATCTCTATTTTGCAAACAGAATATTGATTCTGCTGAGAAAGCTTTTGTGATGACATAAAAAAAAAGAAAGCATTATCTAAATGTAAGTCCAAACAAAACGAATGCCAAAAAACATGCTCGATTCGGCCAGAGCACTGGAGCAACTTCAGTCTTTTGTGTACATTTTAATTTTTTTTTTTATATCCACTTTGTTTTTTGTAGCTTGTAGTTGGAAGTGCTCTTACTTTTATCACCACACACTCGTTTCCCTATGCAAGAAAGCTATTGGGATCTTAAAAGATGGACACAATCAGTAGTGGTCTGTGGGTCTTTGAAGTACATGACATGTCTCTGTGTGTGCTTGTATGGTTTGTGCATGAGCGTGTGTATATGGGTGTGTGGTAGTATGATAGAGAGGGGGAGCAAGAGCAGGTGCAATAACATGGGGGGGTGGTAGAGAACATGAGGGCAGCCAAATACAACAACCGCAGGTCACCTGGGATCACACACTAGTCAGTATCCCACGCCTCTCCGTGCCAAACCACCCGTGAATCGTTATTGGAACCTCCTGTCCAGTCCCACAATACTGCTTCCTACTACCTGTACTGATGATGATGCACCCTAACCCTACCTCTGAAGAACTCACCATTTTGTAGTCCCTCCACCCACGATGGAAATCAACGGAGCCGTTTCTCCGATGCTGCAGCACCGTCCACCCGCCACCTCTAGTCTTCATATCACAGAACACCTGTGGAAATAGACACGAATTACAGATTACAAGATTTTATTCCTTAGGGCTGGGTAACAAAAATGTATGGATTTAGAGTTCTGAACAAAATGTGTCTGAATCCAGAACATTGGCAGTTTCTTGTGCTTGTTTACTTAGTCAATGCTCAGATATTTGTTATTTTTAACTTTAAAGCAGCAGTGATTAATTGTTTTTACCACTTTGGGACATGGGAACAACACAACATTGACATATTATCAGCAACCACATTTCCCATGATCATTTTACACATTCACCAGATACAGAGCCTTAACTATAAGTTGTGTTTAAGCCACCTGGCAAATGTCCAGAAGTCCAGTATTCATCTCCTTTGGTCTCCACTCGCTACTGAGGAAATGATCTAGCTAGCTATTTAGCAGCTAAATGTCATGCTATGTTATCTAGCTAGTTGCTAACAGTTGTTTAGTGCTGGGCTGGTAGTGTACAGCGGGTGTACTGGAGCTTTTTTTGCTACATGTAGCTGCCTGCTGAGGCTGAAAACAAGATTGATGGAAGCTCTGAGACTGAACCAAAACAATAAAGCTGCAAACAGTAAAACCAAAACAATGAGCAGGAAGATGCTGAAATACTCCGTAGATCTGAAGGGAACTTCAGAGTTGGGTAAGTCTCTGTATATTCATCACTACAGATGACCCCTTCCACATAACATATAATGACTTGATTTATTGTTAATATACATAATATTGCATATTCAATGAAGGTTGAGGTCAAGGGCGACTGGACTTGGTAGAAGATAGTAGAAGACGTTTCTTCCCTCATCCAAGAGACTTCTTCAGTTCTGACTGACTGGTAGGGAAACTCAGCTATTTAACCTCTGGGATTGTTAGCTAGGATCGTCGATACCGCTGGTTCGTTAGTGCTCCTGGCTGTGGTAACGACAGTCGTCATGGTCGTTTGAGCCACCCATGGCCAAGTCTGAACGACCATTGTTGGCATCTTCCTCTTGGCCTCAGGTGAAGATGCCAATGATGGTTAACTATAACTGGATGACTGAGAACCTTCACAGACATAATATTGCAGTGTTGCTTTAAACTTGAATTTTTATAGAAAAGGTTGTTTTTTTAAAGAGATACTAAAAGCTACATGACCATCAAAATAAAATGAAAACAATGGTTAAAATGTTATTTGGGTTATTTTTGTATCAGTACTGTACCAATATTGATAATTTTCTAAACAATGTCTAGCCTTTTTCCCATTTCCATTTGAGCCATTTGACATTGACAAATAATCAATTCCTAGTGTATTTGTCAGTAAATAAAATATGTCACAGCATATCTTACAGCACTGCAGTGCTCTACAAGGTGGACAGAAAAGTGTTAAGAAATTACATAAAGAAATACATTATTGTCCCTCTGTTATTTGAAGGACGCCTTAGAAGCCGCAGGAATCGAGGGGGGACCCCCCCCCCATTCCTGCGGCTGCATTTCAGGGTGTCATGCAATGATATGACCCAGGTGGGAAGGAAAAACATGAGCATTTTCTCTTATCCCCTTGAGTGGGGGTTGAGGAGTAGGCATCTGCGTTTTTGGTTACACACATTGTTTTCTTTCTTACTTGGCTGCACATTTTGCTATATGTTGATATGTTTGGAAGAACAAACAGGAATGAATTGCACTCATTCATCTAGTGACAGAATTTGAAATTTGACTTGTTAAGAGACTTGTTTTACATATTCAAGGTGTTGAAACTGGACATATTCCAGCTTCTCTCGGGTGTCGTGATGAATGTGTGAATTTCATCCGTGGGTGGTACGATTAGATGCTTGTTATTACTGAGATCCTTTTTAATTGAACCAGTGTATTCAGGCTGCATACCTCAAGGCTACAGGGTGGGTCTTTGTCAGTTTTCTTAGGCACTATTTTTGAATCTCTATGCAATGTTGTCACCTTAAATTATAGATATTGTCAGTGACTTTTCTGACTCCAACAACCTCTACAACCTCCAATGGGGGTAATTACTGATGAAACAAAATTGATTTGCTTGGCTGGTTGCTTAATAAATGTTGTCCAGCAAACAACCACTCTGACGTGTCTCAAGAGTCATGCAGTATAGATGCTGGTGTGGGGACAGCATCCCAAGGGGTCTCTCTATTTCAACTACTGTCTGCTAGAAATGAAATGAGAGTTCCCAGCACTTTCCCAGAATAGGAAAGCTAAATCAAGGTTAAAAAGCACTCAGGTCTTTTACCTCAGAAAACAGAGCAGACTGGCAATGTGCTGTGATCATCCTCTGGCCCAATAAAGGCAATGTTCTGGCCTTAAAGGCATCACACTGAATACAAAAACAGGGTGTTTAAAAATTTAAGTAATTTCCCACATGCGGCCATTACTTTGATTTAGACCTGGTCCATATTTAATACTCCAAATTCACATATTATTATTATTATTATTAGCCAACAAGGAACCCATTACAATAAAATGCAAAATTCCAGTGAACTTAAGCATTATTGTGATTAAAAAAAAATTATGCTTTGGTTATTATTTGTAAACGGCTTCCATGGGACAAAATAGTTACTTCACTTGTGTTTAGAGAGAACCCATAATGTGTTTAATTTTATGAGCCATGTGCACATGTAGCTCTTAAAAGTATGCACAACAGAGTTATGGAAAAGTTCAAAAATAAGCTGATCCAAACTATGAATTATTTGGTTTGTAATATCATCATTATTCACAACCTTGGTGATTAAAAATCAGATAGATGGATTGATAACTCATAAAGCCAAATCTGCATTCCATGCATAAGTCTATGCTTGCTGGCTCTTTTCCAACTAAGAAAGCCTGCTCTCTGCTTTGAAAATAGGGCAATTTGTATCTGCCCCACTTTTATGCAGCCAACCTGATTGCCAGCCACATTGGCATAGATTGAAAGCAGCGATGATTTGGGGAGTACTAACTTGCATCAGTGGAAACGTACATTGGCCCCAGTTGGCAGGAAACACATGGCACTAGTGTCTAACACCTGGCTGCTTTGCCCACAGGAAATGAAGAGGAAGAACAGGGGAAAACAAAGGCGGTGGGAAATGTTGCCAACCAGCAAACTAGACTGAAAGTAATGAATAACAAAAAACTGTTTCACTGTTATCTTTCCTTTTTTGTGTGGTAAGCTCGGAGAGTGAAGATCTCAGCCAAGAATGCTAGCTGTGATTCAAAGAAAGGATAGCCTGCTGGTGGATGCCATGGTTGACTTAGCGAGGGCTAGCTACTTCAGGTCAGCGGAGGTACCTCTTAAGCTTTTCTGACTTTGCATTCAGCAGCCCACACTCACTCACCTGTGGGGCATAATGCCTCTGTTGCTTATTATTTTAGCTCTTTCTGACCCAGCATGGCACTTCCATCAACCTCTATTCCCAAAACCCCCTATGCAAATTACCATTACATCACACTAGATTGTCCTTCCAGTGTTTACTGCAGTCCCAAAATTAATGATAAGCCCTTTGAATGTCATTATGTAATGTGTGTGTGTGCATTACATTATGCAGGTAAAGTGAAAGTGAAATGATTCCAGTAATAAATACTAACAAAAAAGTTTAATGTCACAGTCAGTTAGGTGATATTTGCAAGAAAAGGCCAATGACCTTTAAAGTCTTACCTTGACAGTCTGGGTGGAGTTGGGGAGGCGTATGTCATATATTCCACTCTCTGTCACTCCAGATTGCAGGATCTCTGCACAGTCCTTGAAACCAGGCGGCTCCTCCTTGGGCATATTGGAGATCTCTGCAAAAACATTCAGGCATTTATTTACAGATGGCAACCTTATGGGTTTTGCACACAAATCCCAAACCCATATGTGAGTTATCTTGTAATGTTAAACTCTGGCTTAAGCCTGCGGTGTCATTATTGCATGCATGTAAAATGTGTCTGAGATTTCAATTACAAGCTGCTCTAGGTGATATGCTTCATCTAAAACAATACTTTTTCAGACCAATTACAAATCTCATGCTCTACAAAAACTGTAGAACCCCCTTTTTTGCCTGAATGAGATTCTGGTATTTATTGATACTATTAGTATATCTTTGTATGCTAAATACTTGTGCATTAGTGATCTGTCCTCAGTTTCATATTGACTAATATTTCTTAATCATTTATGCCTACACAACTTTTATACATGTAATGTAAAATGTATCTTTTCTTTAAAATAACTGATGTCATCAGTACAGTTTTCTCACTCTAAAACAGTAAATCCCTCAGCCTTACCATTACAGTGATTGACCATAGCTAGCAGCTGCTGAACAGTGTCTGTGAGCACAGCCTGCTGTCTCTGTAGTAAGGTGCTGTTGAGCGTGGAGCTGCCTAGCTCACCCTGGAGCTGACTGACCAGTCGACTCTGCCTTTCCAGGAGCTCTTGAAGCTGCTGCTTTTCGCCCTGCAAGCCCTGCAGCTCCCTCCCGTACCGAGCCTCCAGCGCTAAGAGCCTCTGTTCCAGAAAACTATCACAGACAAAGACAACAAAAAAATATTGATTCTTGTGTTGGCTCATTTTGCTAAAAACATCTTCACAGTGGAAACACATTATTATATCAAGTGTTAAGTTTTATATTAAATGGTATGGGTGGCAGAAAATATAAGAGAGTGGGTGCAGTTGGGGAATCCATCCATTCAGCGTTTACCTTTCACAGCAGAGGTTGCACAAACTTGCACATTTACATGAGGATGACTAATAGACATCAGCGTGACAGTCTCATTGGGCTAACATCATATAAACACCTGTACTGCATTCACAGATGGGCCTGCATGCTAAGCCTCTCCATCATAGCCATGAGGCAACAGTCTGACAACTTGTGTGTGTGTGTGTGTGTGTGTGTGTGTCTGCACAAGTGCCACAACCCCACCTCCAAATGAAGATCATAAATCCCTGCAGCCTGATCTTTATGGCTTTGACTAACAACTCTGCAGCAGTTATTTATTGAAACAATCCAGCCACCCAGATTGAACAAGCTACTTTTCAGTCCTGTGCACACGCCGCCGCTGCACTAAATGTGTATCTCAATCTCCCACCTTAGGCGACTCAGTATGTGGCCTGAAAGGAAAACTGGATCAATTCAAATGATTTTTTATATCACTTCCATTTCATATTTGCTTTGTGAGAGAACACTCAATAAACGTGGTAAAGCAAGCTAACAAATTGTTCTCCAGGATGTGCATTTTACTTTGAGGAACAGTCTAAGTGTAGAGCGCAGCAGTAAACCAGCACAGCACTGTTTAAACAGTTAATGAGCTTGACAGAATAAACATGGCATTTTGTATCACATTGCATCCTGGGCAATTACACCGTTAGGCTTATGATCTTGTGCTATTTAATTTAATTGTTGTAAAATATATTGCTATTAGACTGCTCTCACTCTCTCCGTAAAATGCTGCACTTCCTGCCAATATTATTTTACATGAAATACCTATGAAAACAAACATATCTCTGTGCTCTTTTTAGTTGGCAGCAGCAAAACTGGCTCCATGCCCTCAAGGATCAGCAGCAGTAGTCCCATACAACCACTGCCTTCCATGTTTCCCTTTTATTCCACAGCTGCCCGGCGGAAAATCTACTACGACCTTTCTAATTTCTTGCGTCTCGTCATGGTGTTTACCCATGTGAAGATGCATTCATTTATTTACTTGTCAGAACCACGTCACTGACTTGAAGGACAAGGGCCAAAGGGCAGAGTGGGGCCAAGCAGGTCCAGATGTGTAACAGGTGTTGGAGCTGGGGCAGTGTGGTCTAACAGTCACACTTGGTACAGATGGCTAGAACGATAAACAATCAGTTACAAAGAGAGAAAACACCCGCTCCTTTTCACGCCGCCCAGCACCCTGTCCTTAACCCCTGCTGGCCCTAATTTGACCTTGTGTTCCTATGGAGAAGAATGGGAAACCCCTCCTAACATGTACTGCCTATTCACTGGCCAACACACACACACACACACACACACACACACACGCTTACATGCACTGACTATTCACTGGCAAACACACACACATGCTTACACAATACGCATTATATTGTTGTTAAATGCCTTCCTTTTCAGGTCTGCCTGAGTCATTCAACACATTATTTTCCAGTGGTATGAAAAGAACCAGTTTTTTTACACGCACATACAGTATATTACACTTTATATTTTGCCACCCAGTGTCAAGTAGCTTTTTCCTGGGAAAACATTCTTTGGTGCACAGGAAGAGATGCGTTTCCTACAGCAGCCACAGCGGCTCATTTGGAATGAGCAAAGCAAAAGCATCAGCTAAGTGGGCAAATAAAATAGCGCCACCTACAGTAACTAAAGCCCCAGTAACAGATAATCAAACAAAGAAATCACAGTTCTTGACAGATAGGTGAAAAGAATCACAGAAATGAGAGAAATGGCCTTGTGAATTACCACTTAAAAACTAACATAATGGTTTGAAAATGAAGTGCCTGTAGGTACCCAATCTGTGCTGCCTGCCGGATCTGTATCTGCAAATGCGAAAAAGTGGTGTTGTCTGTCAAAGAAGGTTATCACAAATGTGCCTGTTCATTATTACTCGTGTGTTGTTGTCAGTTCTCATCTCAAGGTTTTTCATATCTTAAGTACATTCATATTACATCATAGTGAACAGTTTAATCTCCAGTGATTAAAAAACATTTTGTTATCGTCATTTGAAAGATTTAGTTGGATCGGGAACCTTCTTTGACTGACAGAGCCACTTTTGCGCATCTGCCGAATGGATCCAGCAGGCAGCATGGATTTTTCACTGACATTGCCTATACACAGTCTAAACTCACCTGTTAGTGTTGCAGTGCCTAAAAACTGACTTGCCTGAATGTTCTTTTGAAGTGTGTGTGTGCTCACCTGTTTTTATCACTGAGGCGTGAGATCTCCTGAGTCTGCAGGAGAATATGTTTCTCCAGCCGGTTAGTGAAGAGTGAGTACTCGAGCAGCTGGATCTCCAGGCGGCTTGTCTGGTTCAAGACCTATACATAGAAAAAAAAAAGAGAATTACTCTATCACAGACAGAATGTGCGGGTTGAGGATTGAATGGGAGTTATTGATGAAAAGATTGATGGCAAAACAAAAGGATTTCATAATTCATAAAAAGCACCCTTGGGAATAAACAATGTCGCACAGTATATCATAAGGCTCATAATGCTCATTCTTTGATCTTTCAATTGAAACGGGAGCAAGAATTACCTCATACGCACCTGTGACATGTTTTGAAGTTAATGAAAGATGAAACAAAAACCTCAACAAAGCAGCTCAGATATTTGTACAGGTTACGGTTTCATATCGACTTTGATAAGAGAAAAAGAAAGCAAGAGGACCAAAACAGCCCAGTCTGTAATAACAGCTCTGTGGCATGATTGAAGACACATCTGTGTTGTGCTACTGAGTTTTATGTTTTAATTGGCTTGTTGTCAGACGCCGAGCTCAACTCATTGTGTCAATCAGAGCCTTTAGAACCAAATACCAGCTGTTTGAAAGCAGTTGCCGCCACCTTTGGGCATGGCTTCTCAGCGGGTTACATCTGATTTACATTTAATTAGCTATTCGCCAAGTGTTTCGCAGGTGACATAATTTGTTTTCGCATGGGTGTGACGCCCATAGTTGTTCATTTGGATTGGCTGCAAACATGTTATCTCACGCACACTGAAACGCTTCCCGATGGGCTCACCTGGGTCTCCACGTCTGTCAGTTTGCGGGTCTGCTCAGCTGATTGGCTGAGGAGGTTGGTTCCCATTTCCAGCATGGCAGCTGTCTGGGTGTGTACTGCAGTTCTCTTCATTTCCTCCATGCCAGAGCGCACATTCTCCTGGATGAAGTTCTCCAGCTGTAAGGAGGACAGGCAGACTCTAAGAATATTATCCAGGATGTCAGATTCCTTAGTTTAATTGTGGTGATAATCATATTTTAAGAGGTTATGTCCTTGTATGTTCACTGACAGCTTGATGCAGTGTGACAGTGGGAACCTCTTGTGAGTGAGAGTGATCTATCTTTTTCACTTCAATCTGTTCAGGTACTGTGATGGAGTTATGGAATTTGGTATCCCCAGGTACTTGCAGACTCATCTATCCATCTGCAGGTCTACCTCAGGCAAATGACAACCCTTACATTAATACAAATATGCAGTGTATAGGCATTTCAATGGGATTTCAAAAAGAGCAGGACTGATGTACACCAAGAGGGTGACATCATGATATTTGTGTGAAGGACTTTAGGAATAGTCGCCTACACTCTGTAATCAATCAAGCTCAGAGATAGACACACTGGCTAAACCCATCATATTTTGCAGCAGGAGTATAAATAGGATGGCATCCATCTTGCTCCAATAAATAGATTTTCTTATTAATGTGGTTGGTTTGAGAAAGCGGCATCTGGAAGACAAATTTGTCTTTTCCTGCCGTGAACAATGGAATTTAGTTTGACGTTTAACAGGCAATGGCCTGTGCCTTGCAATAAAGCAAAGTAGAATATCGAACAATAATTTATTTATGACTTTTCTGAGGAGGGATCAGACTTTACTCGTTAAACCACATGACTGGAAAATGAAGTCTCCAAGGAGAAAGCATTCAAAATTATCCAGCTAATGAGTGGCTAGTTGCAAAAATCGAAGAGAATTCAAATGAGACTTCGATTGTTTGTTTTCTTTTCAAAAAAATGTCCATTTCAGAGAGGAATGGGATTATGCATAATGCATTGCCACAGGAGAGGGCTTTTTCATTTTTTTTAATGCAGTATAAAAAATACTGATTCAAGTGGGCAAATAGAGATGAATCGGCAATTAAAATGTTTGCCTGCTTGTAATCTTTCTCTCTTTGTCTCTTACTTCCTCTTGATCTCTCTCACTAACTCCATTTTTCATTCAAACTCTCTCTCTTTCCCCTCTTGCTCAGTAAATCCGTCTCTCATATTTTGCTACTTTAGGACAACTGAGACTGCAGAAAACATATCCGTAACATATATAAGGTTATGAAGAGATTACCAAGCGGATTAAAGCCAACTTGAAAAGAAGAACAAAGATCCCAGCTTTATAATCAGCCTCATGTATTGAAACTGCTATCAGCCGCCTGTCCAAAGTGTTCCTATTACAGCCTTCTGTGATAGAGCTCAATCCAGAGGTCTTGATACACTCCATCTCCCCCTGCCAATTGCATTAATTGCAGCTCTGTCAAGCTGCACTATGCAGCCAGATTAATCACATTTGGGTTGTAGCATAATTGTGTTTTATTGTGTCTAAAAGGGACAGAGGGATCAGTGCTGAGAAAATCATAGGAGTTGTATCACTTGATATCTTAATTGTAGAGCCAATAGTGTCTGCCGGGTGTTCTGGCAAATGATAATGATAGACTGCGGCACATCAGGATAGCTATGATTGTGATATGTTTCTGTAAAAAAGGTGATTCAATTGATGTGTCAGTGCAACTGACAAGAGATAAATGCATTGTTCACGTTGAGTCAATTCACCAAAATGATGTGTGGTGTCAAAGAAAGCAGATAACTTCAGTTTTATTTGGATTTCTGCCTCCACCCAAATACAATAAATGAGAATTACATTTTATTTATGGTGCCATAAGCATTTTAAAATAACAATTGAAAATTCTACAGCAACATCTCTTTCCAGAAACAATCTCCCCGTTGCTCTGGGTAGTCGACAGATCTCACTTTGGCCAGTTTTCATTGGAACTACTTTCTGTTGAAGAATTGCTTGATGTTCTGTGGATTATCCAGCGTAACCAGGAAATTGTTTCTGGAAAGAGATTATTTTTTTCATCTGGAGTTTCACTAAGGGATGGCAGTGTCCTAAAAAATAATAGCGGATGGATTGCAATGAAATTTTGTGCAGGCATCCTAATGACTTTTAGGATCCCTGACAATTCATCTACGGCCACCAGCAGGTCAAAGTTTTCATCTTTTGAAGTAAAATATCTCAGCAGCTACAGCATTAATTGGGACACTACTTTGTACAGACATTCATGAAGTGTCCTAATGACATTGGTGATCCACTGACTTGATGAGATTGACATTTGTGGGTTTGAATGAAATGTCTGGACAATCACTGGATTGTCCTCCTCTGCTTAACTGACCAAGACTGTGATAACGTTGGTGATCCCTTCTCATCATCAGGTCAAAACTAAAATTTATAGTACTTTGGTTTATGGCCAAACTAATGACAATCCCATCAGCCTCAGCTGTACTCTGTCTTTAGTCCTAATTTTCTAATGTTAACACGCTAACAATAACCATCTGGTCAACATGTTAAAAGTTATTACCTGCTAAACATCAGTATGTGGTCATTAGCATTTAGCTCAAACCAAGTGAGCGCAACAAACCAAATTAGATTCACCCCTTTCATATTAGATGCACATATCGCAGAACCTTGACCAAATATAACCAAAACTATCTTGTGCCTAGATACCACTAGTGGTAAGTAAGAAAAGATGTTTTTGTAAGATGTTTCTAAGTCATAGTTTGAGAATGTACAAGATGGAGAAAAGGGGTATATGTGAAAATAAAAGAAAATGGAGTCTAATTGGACCATGTGAGTGAGTTAGGTGGATGACATCCTTTAGTATTGGCTTAATGAAACATTTCGGTCACCAAAGATAGCCTAGCCACCTTGATCTCTATGCAATATTTCTGTATTAGCATAATCCGCACAGGCTCCTAAAAGCACTCACAAAAGCACGCTCACATCCTTTTTGCCAACCCCTCAGGGCAGCAGAAGGCAAAATGGACTAGACGGGGGGTTGCGTTAGGGGTTAGTACAAAAGAAAGCAAACACTAGTTTCTTCTTGGAAAAACAGAGAAGGAATCTGGAAGATTAATACAGTCCCGTTGCACTCGTCCACTTGGAGATTCCTCTGCGGAACATGTTGCATTAGTGTGTGCTCCCAAGTTTTTGCGCGTGGGTGTGTGTTTTCTTTCAAGGGGTTTGGGTGGAAGGCTCACAGTAAGAGTCATACCATCCCAGGGGAGCTGTGAGTGAGCTTGTATAAAGTTTCACAGACACACCGACACTCACTTGCCTGAAGCTCTTCCGCATGGATATCACCAATTTCTCCCCAAACTTATGCAGAAAGGCTTAATGAGCTTCACAAGGTGCTGAAAGGCCTTTGCCATCTGGGGGCAAAGGTCAGTGTACCCTCGTGCATGTCTCAAAGAGGCTCTCTAGGGTCATGCTATGTTTATGTGGAAATCCCACCTACAGTGCGATCATTTATGCATCACTATGGCCTGGTGGGGGTAACTTGTTGAAAGGTTGGATCTTTGTGTTCATTCCAGACGTTATGTGGAGGACGTTAGGCAACAGAGCATGTGTCAGCAGAGCTTTTTCTTTGTGTGGGGGGGATTTAAATTGCACAGCTCGGGTAGAGAAAGAGTGAAAGAGAGAAAGTACATGCTGAACAGAATATGCCCAAGATATATGTCACGCTTTTGTATAATACAACTTAGTGTGTACTTTGCAGACTGTATGCATGAATAATTTATCGCACGCATGAGGGAAAGTGTGTGCACTCCCTCACCATCCCTTCCTCGCTCTGTCTCTCAGACACACATGTGGCCTCATCAGAGGCTACTCATGGAAGCTAGGTCTCCAGTTCATAGACTGAGCATCAGACAGAGTGTGCACAGGGGAACCGAGTGCGTGTTTTCATATGTGTTTTTTCGAGTGCATGTCGAGGGAGAGCGAGCAAGCTAGACAAGGAGTATGAGATCTGATGGTCGACAAGTCAAGGTGTGAGAAGAGACACATCCATCATCCCAGAGGTGCAGAACGGTCCAGATTGAAGTGAATGAGATGGATAGAGAGGAACGGAGTGTCAAACGAAAAGTAAGACTGGGGAAAGGAAAGGGCGGAAAAGCGCAGGCAATTTTGTGGTGAGTGAGAGTTAGAGTGGGAAGTGACAGTAGCACAGGAAGCACTTTGGCATTCATAATACCCCATTTTCAAATCCTGAAATATAATCAACATGTTTGCTCTCGGCCGGCCAATCTAAACACTCGACATAGACTGTTATAATCGTCCGAGGATTAGTGTATACCATAAATATTCTGTGAGTGATGCAGACAAGAATAGAGAGACGGGTGGAGAGGGGTGACGTGTCAGTCAGTCTGTCTTAGACAATGGCCCAACACTGATTCTGTGCCCTGATGACCTTAGCAATGAAAACACTATTGTGAAGCCACTTTTAATCGCATCATTTCATTTTACTCGTAATCCGGGCTAAATGGAATTGCAAAGGCCAACGGCCCAGAAAAGAGACATGCTGTAATGTGTCTCTATGAGATAAACAACAATTTGTCACAGAGAAACATTTTTACGTCAGCTGAGTTTCTTACAGAGAGTTTTTAAACGGCCTAAAACATGAGTCAAGAGTGACGCTTCTGTGTACTTGTTGCCTGTGGAGGGGTGAACATACTAATTGTGCAGGTTTAACTGTGCAAGACATATTTGGCACCGTTTGATATTAGCAATAGTTTTTCGTCTAGTCTTTCTCCTCTCGCATGCAACAGGGAGTTCTGGCATCCCAGAGGTCTTAAATACAAAACACACTCATACACCAGGCGTTGTCATGGAGCCAGATATACATACAGCAGGCATCCAGGAAATCCCAGCTAAGCGTTGAACTTATCAATAATCAAGGCTTGTCAGCACATGAGATCAGATAGTGTGCTCTGTGGACATCCCATGCTTATATTTTTGCATTATGTTTGAAGGCTAAAATGTGACATGTGGAAAGGCCAAGAAAAAGGCGATGTGACAGCTAAGTAAGGATGGTTAGATGACAGAGGACAGAACTGGGTGTTTTAGTTCAGAGACCTTACCTTCTGCAGCCACAGGGTGTTATTCTCCATGGCACTCTCCAGATTCTCCAGCTTCCTCTCCTGCAAGGTGGGCCTCTCCTTTTGGGCCTTATCCGGCTTGGATTGACTTGTATCAGGGTCTGCCTCAGGTGGAGAGTCCCTCTGGAGGGTGTTGGTGACCTGGAAGTCCTTTAAGGGATGGCAGTGCTCCACCTCAGGGAGGATGAAGGTGTAGCTGCACGGGCCGTGCTGCACTTGGTGCTGTTGGCGCTCTGAGCCAATCGCCGTGGCCAGCAGGTAGGCCAGGTAGGCAAGGGTCAGGGCCAGCAGGCGGCCCATGTCAGGGGAAAGAGAGGAGAAGGGGAGGGAGGGAGGAGAGGGGGAAGAAAGAGGTTGCTCCACCTGGCAGAGCAGAGAAGTGGGTCAGGTGAATTTCCCCTTTGGTTCTCTATATATCTCTTGTATCTTTTTTCGTCTCTTGTTAAAGTATCCCTCAAGACTCTGTCTTCCTCCTGTCTTCTTAGTCCAACTCCTGCTGCTCCTGTCTCTGCTTTATGAGTTTCTCTTCTCCTCTTTTGGCTGGTCCCCCTCTTTGCTGTTGCATCCAGAGGTTTTCTTTAGCCCAGTCCCTGCTCCCGCTGTTCCTCGTGAGGGTAGACAGAAAACACACACAGGAAAAGGGGATTGCCTCTTGTTGTAACTCCAACACGCAGCCAGCGCATGCAGCTCCGTCCAGGAAACCAACAACAGACTTCCCTCCCACCATTTATCTCTCTTCTGAAAAGTCACTTTCCTCACTGCCTTCTTTTCAAGCTTCCGGAGTCCATGCGTTGGTCCACAAAAGAGGTGAGAGGAGGGGTGGAGTGGAGAGTGGCCCGCTTCAGGATGTTGACTGACCTGGTAAAGCTTATAGAGTAGAGAGAGCGGCGTACCTCTCCACACACATACACACATGCACCTCCTTAGCACATAATCACTCAACCACCCTTCCCTGTTCTGCAACTAGGAACTTTCTCTAACAACTTTTTCTCCCTCCCATTCTCTCTCTCTCTCTCTCTCTCTCTCTCTCTCTCTCTCTCCCCCTCTCTATTTATATATATATTCTTTATTGCCGTGACCATAATTAAGTACAGAACAAAGGCTGTACATTTAAGAAGGTAAAATAATAAAGCCTGATAATTCAGAATGCTAGTAAAAAAACAACAAATGGTTTCTGATAAGATATTTTAAATTCAAGGTTCAGTTACTAGATTTTGCCTTTTCAGCTCTATCTCACAAAGCTTTCGACCGTGTCACTCATAAAAAGGCTGCCAGGTAGGCCAAAAGTTCTGAGGAAAAAAGTAGTAAGTGAACCTTGAGATCACAATATTTTATTAAAATGAGATAGCAAGTAGTTTAACATGCTTAACAATGTAACATAATGATAGGAAAGAGAACAACAAAAGCAGATAGATTTTGAAGGTGTTGTTCTACTGGTTTCTGGCTGGCTCTGCTCTGACGCATTTAGCTGTTTCCAAAGCAATGTTACTGTAGCTTTTCCCGAAGTAAATACTGAATTTGTTTTTTTTTAGTTTGAAAGTGTGTTGAATTCTTGGTATTGGAGTTTTATTTTGGTGAAGAACTTGGTTCTTCTGTTTTGAGGCTGCACCATGTGCTGCACTGTCTCTACCTCTTGTTGTTGGCTAACCATACTGTGTCTGTTTTTTTCTGGTTTCCCAGGTTTGTCTCTGTCCACCAGTCTCAATGGCCAAGTTTGTGGTCAGTCAGTCAGTATTTAATTAAAGTATGTAGTTAAATTCAAACAGAGATTTGAATTCCCCTCACGTTTGTGGAAGGAAATATAATTATAGTAATACTGCAGCTGTTGTGTCTACTTTTCAAAGGACAACTGTTTTAAGCTACACACTGTCCACTAAGAAATTTGATGCTAGTTAGCCTAGCTTGCTAACATTAGCACCAATTCCAACTAGACATTATTTTCCCTTCGTGGTATTTCAATGCATTGTCCAGCTCCTGCACACTGTGTTGTGTTTGTCTCACATTATTCAAAGGAAAGGGGCCTACTTACCAGTAGCTACCTCTGATTTATGGGTCCAGAAGAATTAATGGCAAATGTCCAGACTTAAAAACTCTCACCTATACGTATTGTCCTGTAACCTCAGCACTCCCTGTTTGTAATCACAACTAATGCAGGGGGTACTGAAATTACAAAAGTATTTCAGTGTCCACCCACACTCACACACATTTTTGACATGCGACCAAATAATTACACAAAACTCACTGCCACTTGGTATTTTCTGTTCAATGCTAAATAGCACTGTTTAGCAAGTTACCTTGAGTTTTTTGTTGTAGAGCTTGTAAGAGCTGGTTTCAGTGCCTTTAAAGTGTTTATAGAATTTTATTGCTCTCCTTTAGATACTAATTAAAAGTAGAAATTGGTCTAATTTAACTTGGCATCCAATGTTTGTTCTGTTTCAGTGGACTCCAAGGACTCTCTCTCTCTCACTTTCACTGTCAGCCAAACCTGCCTCTCCATCACGTTTCCTCCCTCTACACAATTATTGTTTTATTCATATCGCCACTATTTTCTGACGCTTCATAAATGCCTTCCCGGCCTTATCTCTCACTGTGGTATAAAAGATTCAATCCATACTACAGCACAGATCGTCCACTTAATCATAGTCTGAAAGGACGTAGTCACAGCAGGGCACCAAACTCACTTTCAATACATCCTGCTTCTTTTCACCACTATCATGTGGCAGTGATAGAGTACCACTGACTCAAACAAGCAAAATGAAAACTCTCCAAGGAAAGCAAGAAAGGAAGTTGCCCGGTCACATATCTGACATGATGACTGTTTGTTTACCTTCTGTGATCAATACTCCCAAAGAGGAACAAACTAACATGACTTTCAAATTCAACATATTTTTTTATTTGCTTTTTCCCATGTTCATAGTGCACTTGGAGGCAAGTGTACAGTATGAAAGTCTTAATGTTTCATATGCCTTTCATACATTGTTGAGTCTTAGCCCTTATCTTCCAAGCATGATAAGCATTCCACACTGCCACTGTTGTGTGGACACTTAATGACCCAGCAGCTTTAAAACCCAGTGTGTGGCCCCGTCACTCAGCATACCAGTGGCTTGGATATATAGCAATATGCATCAACTCATATCCATCCCAGTTATTCATGCACTGCATATACAGCAGTAAACACCTTGCGATTGCTGCACGATTGATTGATTTTCAGTAGTAAATTAACTTCATCCTATAGATGATTTCCCAAGCAGAGCTGTCAGTGTATGATGTTGAAAAACAAGAAAAACAAAGACTGTTGTACTTCAGCCTTTAACTATGGTGTGGTTTTGTTGAATGCGCAGTATCTCTCTGTAGACAGTGGTCAGACATCAAATTGACTTGTATGGTGATTAACTTAAATGACTTCCAACTACTGTTCATGGCAGGAAGAATTCCCTATGGTATCTATTTTTGCCATGGATAATAATATGATGTCACTTGATGTTCAATGCTGTCCCACAATTGCGAAAATCTGGACACTTGGAAATGAGCAACACAAGATAACTGGAAATGAACAAAGTTTTCCAACTCAGATGATCCATGCACAAGTATGCTGCTTTTATCTGTAAAACATATTTACATGTGAGACTTGTTTGAGGTGAAATGAAAGATGGATATAGCAAGTGTATTGGGTAACAGGACGCAACAGAGTAATGATCTCGTGCAAACTCACTGACACTGTAATATCCTGAGGGAGAGCTCTGAACGTGGTTCCCCTTGTGGCCTCTTTTTGGAGAATAAAAAAGTGAACATTCACATTTTATTGCACTTAGTTTTTCATATAAAGACAGACCGCTAGGAAGATGGGATAAGATCTTTTTGGCAGAGGACAGGACCAAGCAGAAATAAACCAAGTAGCAATCAAAGCAAGTCACGTTGGAGAGCGATGTATCAATATGATTATTTATGGAGATGGCTCGAATGATCAAACTGAATCAGGTCTGCTGTGTGTCCAGAAATACTATAACTATATGTATCATCACACTGTTTCCAGTGTTCAATCACAACATGAGAGTAAATATTCAATATTAAACAGAGTCTGCTTTCAGTTACGCAACTGGAAATGAGTGAAAGTGAAAAGCAGTTGTTGCTGTGTGCAGAGGGGAGTTTGACCGCCATCCAGTACTCTTTCATAAAACAAATAACTGCTCATAAACCAGCCAGAACATCCCATTCTGAAACACTCTGTAGATAATCTCACATCACATATATGCATGTGAGTAAGCTGTGGGATACATGTAGAACAAACATACAAACAAGCTCTCTTGTTTCTTCTTTGGAAAGACATTCACGATCCCCAGACGAGGAATCCTACTGACTTTTTGGTCATTCTCTGACTCTTCCTCTTGCGCCACTATGAGGCGCCATACAATTTTGGACAGACATTCATGTTCCCTACAGGATCAATTCTAATAACTTGGTGATCTCTTAACTTTTCACTGGGTCAACATTACTCTTTGTCAGATTGCTTGGTTTATGACCAGATATTGGCTAAACCAATGACCCTCCTGTAGCTAAAGTTTGTGTTTATTTAAATATCCTCCATTGGCGAAGGTGATCAATTATGTGCTACAATAAAAACCTGTGTTGGTATTTTTTCATGTCAGTCATTTGCAGTAATTTTATATTTATTCCAAAACTTCAAAGGAATCATCTCATATTTAATGTCTATGAAGATTCTCAGTCATCCAGGTCATAGTTATCCAACGAAAGTTAAAATCAAGGGCAACTGGACTTGGTTGAAGATCTTCAACCTTGATTTTAACCTTCGTTGGATCTCATATTTAATGTTAAGTGCTTTGAATATTGAAAAGTATAGTCAAAGATATACACATTTTCTGCCATATAAAGCAAAGTATAGTGTTAAAAGAAATTGCCTGTGGCCCATAATTCATAGTGTACCGCAGTTTAACACTCTTCCAGGGGAACACTGGTTGTTTAGTTTAGGGTCTCCTGTCAGGCTGAGGTATTTCCCACTGCTCCCTCAAAGCCCTGAATCAATCTGCCTGCTGGATTTGAAGGTGACATTCAGTCTCTCCTCCCTCTGGTCAGGATGTAGCGACTGGGTTTCTTCCTCGTCTGCACCACTTGTCACCCAACCCTGTCCCCTAACAAAAGTACTATTGAAGTGACAGAAACAAAACTGTAAAAAAACAGAACAATAAAAGGAGAGCAATCGTTTAGGATCAAGAAAAGAGAGAAAACACAATGTCATTATTTTATTTTATTTTATGCTGAATCCATCTGTAGCCTCACGTAGTGGGACCCGTCACTCCACACAGCAATCTACACCTTCCTCCTGGGCAGGGTGGAAAGACCAGAGAGAGAGAACAAAACAGCCCCAGATTCCCCTTAAAAGTTCTCCTGTAATGGCCCGTCCAAAACACTTAACACGCTCATCCACTCACCTACTCAGGCTGTCACTCACAAATGACCATCTGTTAAAGATCTATTTGTACAGACTGGTACATGTGAGAAATGTGAGAAGCACCCCACTCAGGCTGGCTTTTTGCTGTCTGCAGTGGGTTAATAATAATTATGATAACAATGATTATGATGTTAGCATAGCTTTACTGCCTCCCCTCGTGCTGTTTCTGGGTGAACAAGGAATCCAGGCAACAGAGAGCCCAGGGGAGCTGCTCTGAAGAGAAAACAGAGTTTAGCTCTGCTAATTTGAACTGGAAATAAAATGAACTTGAATGAACCCCATCTGACAAACCAAAGAGCGAGACAAGTCCTGCTTTATTCAGTGTACACTAAAGACATGCAGGGCAACTAAATCAAACTCCTGATGCGTTCACTCCCTTGTGGTTCAAATCACTTGGGCAAAGACGCTTGAAGATGACATAGTCACAAACTGACAGGTCCAGAACAA